TTGCATTCAAATAACATATGCCCGCTCAGTTTGCATTCAAATAACATATGCCTGCCTCCCCATCATGATTCTCTGAGAAGGGCAAGATCCCTGTTCCTGAATCGCTGGCCGTGGACAACCCACTTTTAAGAGCTGGCAGGTCCTTTAGGAAGCTGAAAAATAGGCACTGGAGTGTATGAAAGCCAGCAAGAATTGGTATGTCATCCATCCAAATGGGAACACATCATTAAAACTAGCTTTGGCAAGCGGTATCCCCTTTCAAAGACCCAATGAATTTTTGATCCTCAGAGAATCCCGGGAAATCCATGGCCTCTGTGGAGTAGACCTATACCTGAGATCTCACATGTCAGGAAGAACAGAAATGGCAAGAATCTCCATTTTGGAAATTTCCCTCACCCCACAGTGGGAGATGCACATTGGGGGAAAGGACGAGCATCTCCTTCTTTGGAGGACCTGTCTTCTTCAGGGGCAAGTACCAGGCTACTTTTGTAGGCAGAAAAGGCAAGTCATTAATTGGGACATTCTCCATAATACCATTTCTGATCTGAATGTTTCCTTTTAGACTTAATGAGAAAGAGGAAGTGAATCTGTCCCTAGATAAGGAAGAGGACAATAGCCAGTCCCTGGGTCTTCCAGTCTATTCCAAAAATCTACTACTTGGTAAATTCTTCAGGATCCTAGGCCTAAAAGACCAAAGCAGTCCACTCCCATTGGTCCTCTAGTGGATCTACTGTTATGTGTGTTAGGAACCTCTTCAAGCTAGGCCAGACTAGAAAACCAAAGTTATGAATATTAACATTACTTTTATTATAAAGCTATAGTAACAGAATCTTACAAGTCTAAATGCTCATGCTCCCTCCCTCCATTTATCTATAGGATAACTAGGGAGGGCCGAATTTGAGACATTTTCTTAAATTATATTTCTGCCTTGGATTCAGTTGTGTGTGTATGCTTGCGCACACGCAACCATAGTCTTAGTTGCAGCTCTTACTATCAAGTTACTCGTACACCCCATTAAACTGTAGCTCACGGGTGCCAAACTCGCCGCATCACGTGACGTGTTACGACATATCGCAACTTTTTTTGCATTGCCAGAGCTTGGGTGGGCGCGGCCTCTGCATGATGCAACCGGCCCGCGGGCCAACAGTTTGACACCCCTGCTGTAGCTAGTAGCCTTCCCCAAGTTTGTCTTCCATGAAATATTCAACAAAGTCCATGGGAAGAGTGGAGAGGATGCAGGAAAAATAAGATTCTCTTTGCCCATCAAACTCTGTACTTTCCCTCATGAAGTAGTCCTCCATAGCAGAATTGGTTTGCAAAGTTATGCTAAAGGTAAGAACCCTTCAAACAGCAAGAGGACAGGAAAGTGGAGGTTTTGTAGCACAGAAAACAGGAGGAAACAGCCACAAGGACCTCCCTCGTTTTTTGTTTTTGTCATTTGTCATCAGTTGGACAAAACAGCCATTTGAGTTCATACTTCTAGAACATATATAACTGAAACAGAATCTGAATAAATTAGCCAACACAATTGCCTTTATGGCTGATGTGAATTTGGACAATGGTCAATTCTTAGCCAAAGGCTTGGTTGCTAATATGGCTACACAAGACAACTTTCTGTCTCCAAATCTGTTATATATGGCCCATTCAAGTGGGACAAGCTATTCAGAGACACCCTAGATCAGGGGTAGGCAACCTTGGCTCTTTTATGACTCGTGGACTTCAACTGGCTCAGGAATTCTGGGAGTTAAAGTCCACGAGTCATAAAAGAGCCAAGGTTGCCTACCCCTGCCCTAGAAAATATCGTAATTGAGATTAGAGATAAATATTCAGCCCCCTGAAACTATTTCACCCAATTTTTGAACACTTGCAAGGCAATCAGACATTAGCTGGCACTGAAGTCCGGAAACTAGTTCTGACCATGCATTGAACAAATCCTACAGGTTGAGTTAGTCTTCCATTCTTGTGCCATATTTTTCATTGTTCTAAAGAAAAATGATAGCACATCATCCTGGCCCTCAAACAAATGAATCACCAAATTAGATGCTATCTTTTAAATCCATGATAAAAGTATCTTTAAGGAAAAAAAATGCCCTGTGTATCTCTGTCTAGATGACCTGCAAAGCCAGTCACCATTGATTGAATAGGGAAAGAGGGACAACCATACCATGTTGCAGACTCAAAGAACTGGGCTTCTTAATAGACACAATAACACTCTTCATCTGGCATACGCCCTAGAGTATTTTGGTGCCATCCTGAAATCGTGATGTTTCTGCCAGAGGAGAAGAAAGAGACTGTTCAGCAGCTAGTCATGTTTTAGACAAGCCAGTTAGTATCTGGGGGCAAATGACTGTCTGCATAGACTTAGTTTCTACTCCTGTCCCCTTCAATGGGTGCTCCTTCCCACTACTGTGTCATTTCACTTAAATGTTTCACTTAGCCACAGAAATTTTGGGCTGAATTGTCATAAGTCAAAGACTACCTGTAACTCTTATACCTCAGTAAAGCACTCTTCAGCAGGAAGATACTAAAGGAAATAATTCTAGTTCCTGGGACATGATCCTATCCCTAGTGACAGCTTTGATATATAGTATTCCCAGGGCTTTTTTTCTCATAGAACGCCCAGAATGGAGTTCCGGCATCTTTTTTGGATGGAACCTTGTAGGGTAGGCAAGGTGGGTTGTATGACGTATGTGAGTTCTGGCACTTTTTTTTTTTTTTTTTTTTTTTAGAAAAAAAGCACTGAGTATTCCACTTTAGAATGTGCTGATTTTACTGTAGGGAAATCCACATCAGAATTACTATGAATGTCCCTATCGCAAAGATATGGTGTTCGGTCCACCAAAAAAAGAGGGAGTTGTCAATATTTGCATTCTATATGGAGTCTAATGTAACTTTCCTGTATTAATTTCTCAAGTATTTTGTGGAGTCCCTTTCTGGCTTTGTACTCTAAAGTGGGGAAGGGATCTTTTATTTTCCTCCAAGAACTGACATTGGAATCTTCTAGCCCCAATTCTGAAAAGGGGGGAAGAAACACCCACTTTAGAATGCTCTGTCCTCACTGTAGAAAAAGGATCTTCATGGTAAGTTCAACGCATCATTGCTAAATATGGTGTAATTTCACTGAAGAATTTGATAGGTTCAGTTTAATAATAATCCTTATATTTATCTTAAGATATTTACTTTAAATTTTATTGGAGGATTACTACATTCCTTTTCAACATTTCATCAAAGATGGAAAATTTGGCAATCTGATCTATAATAACTAGTATTTACAGGATGACATTAGCAGCTATTGCTTTCCTTTCAGCTTGTTGGATGGATCTCTAATTTCAGGTGGGTTATGTTGAGATGGCTTTAGGTTTAGTATATGCACCACCCAAACTGGTTTTGAGTCGGCATTATAAACTTACTTAAAATAAGGCAAAAAAAATAATTATTATTAGAACGTCTGATTTCTCCCCCCCACAAGATTGTTTAGAAAATTGTTGATACAAATGTATATGTTATATTAGATAAAGTAATTTTTCCTCAGTTTCTAGATTTGAATAGAGAATTTGGCCCAAAACTGGTTTCCAGTAGTTATTTAGAAGGTAAATGCACAGTAAAATCTGCTGCAGAGATAAGTGCAAAGTGTTGGAAAGAAAGTGATATCTGACCATCTGGCTCCTTTTCAACTTACAAACATTCATTTTGGGCAGGGGTCCCAAATTCTTCATGTCATCAAACTCTTCATGAAATTTCAGATTGTTAATCAACCCCAAACATTTATTATACGAAAATAATATAATAAGTACTACTTTAACTAATAGTACTATGAATAAATAATACTACAAATAATTAATAACAGCAACAATGGGTAGCCCCATCACCTGTCAGGAGTCAATATTGACTACATTGGAAAATCCTGGTCTTGGGTAACAAGAAATGTTGCATAGATTGACTAAGCCTATTGTTTCATATTTTCTATATTGCTAAATTGTTTAATTTTAAAAGTATGAGATAAAATTATTCAGTATTATTTGAAATCTGTGCTACAAGTACTGAGAAGTAAAATGAATGCATTTATTTTACAGTTACAGAAGAACAGCAAATCTGTGACATTGAATATATGATACTGTATGAAGCTAAAGAAGAGGCTTTTCTGATGCTCAAGTTGTTTGACATTTAAATTCCTGGGATTTGTGCAGTGTCTCCAGTGTACTTCCTATGACATGGTGGAGCAGAGGCCTGGACTATGGTTTTGCTTCAGTTAGTAAAAAAAAACTTTGTTTTCTAAGGGAGGATGGAACAGCAGCTATTAATTATGGAGTTAATATTTAACCTGGTGTCCAAAGCCAGGAGATAAAGTTCTTGTACCTAGTTTAAAGCCAGATTTTTTTTCTTTTTTGAAGTGACCATAAGCTCAACATTATATTGGCTTGTTCTTGGAGAAATATCTTTTAGCTAGTAATAAATTCTGCACCAAGATGTTGCAGTTCTGGTTTTGCTTCTTATTTATAGGGGCAATTGGTGGTACTCTTTCATCGGGAATTTTTGCATTCCCATGCTTTGTGTGGATATGTTCACTAACATTGCTTTTGGTCCAAACTGAAGATCTCATACTATTCAGAGGATTGCTTAGGTCACACTTGCTTCTTGCTGTGATATTTTAATTTCTAATTATTAGGTTTAATAGATTTTTCATTTTAAAAAAAAATCAAAGATAGAAATTATTCAGTAGCATTCTGTTGTAAATAAACTACAGATTTCCATTCTCGATATGATTATGTGTGTATTTATTTGGTGGCTTTTCAAATACACTTTGCATTACACAGAGGTTCAAAATGAGTAACAGCTTTAAAAACACAATGCAGTTATATGCAGTATAAAACACTTTAACTATATGACAGACTACATTAACAGCAGGTTTCCAGGAAGAAGGGCGTACATTCAAAGTGGGGGGAGGGGGAATGAAGCAAGAGACAGCACAGTTCAAAGCTGGATCCTGGGAAGAGATTTAGGATAGCTACTCCCTAATATCTCTCACAGTATATCGTTAGGGTAGGGTAGTAAGGGTTTAGTCTAGCAAGAATATATATGGTGGAAGCAAAGAATGGAACTTTGGCTGTATCATGTTACATTGCTCTTGGACTAGGCCAAACACTAATGGAACATTAAAATTAATTTGAAATAAATACACTGACTCAAAAAACAGCATTTAAGAGAAGCACTCTGTGGTCCTTAAATTCTTATCCAATTAAATACTTAGTGTGCCTCAAAAAGGGGGAAAAGTGGGATGCAGTACAATTATTTAGTGCAGTGTTCTTGGCTAAAGACCAAGTGCACAAGACTGTACTTTGAATCAGACTTTACATTTTAGGTTTTCTGTCTTGATACTAAAGCCTTTGAATCTACATTAAGCAATTTTTGTCTTCCTGTAAAACAAGAAGAGACAGCAGATTTATTTGGATCAGGTTAAATTAACTGCAATTTTTAGATTGCATCTAGGTCTTTTGGTTGAAAGGTGAACTTACTGCAGTTCTAGAAAATTTTGGTCATTTTTTGAAACTAACTCATCTAAAAGGTCTGTGAAAAGTTTTTCAAAAAGGTATTTGTAAATCATAAACATGAGAAGAGCTCCTAGAAGAAATAAAGTAGTAATGTTTCCTAGAAGGGTCACTTTTTCCAGTTGTCTGCATGTTAGAGATTACTTTGAGTTCATTGTTATTTGGGTTATTAGGCATCAGTTGGCTTATGGGAAATGAGCATTTTGTCACTAGCCTTATCAATGATAGTGTCTAACTTTCAAATGTGTTCTCTGGTTCAAACTGATTGGGATGACTGATGTATATACAACTCCTTTCATTCTCTTGGGCAATCTTCGATTAAGCAAGATCTCAAAAATCTAGCATTAACCAAATTTAAAACTGCCTCAAGTCATATAGCTAACTAGAGTACTTCAAAGTCACATATTCTACTATAATTATATATCTATATAATTAAAATATACAATTTAGCTTCAATTCTACATAAGTCCTCGGTTTGATTAAAACAATATGCTGAAAGCAAATGGAGACTTCTATCAGTTGTTTCTACTTTAATTCCAGTCTTTTTAGTCCCTCTTGGGATAGTTTTTTTATGATGTCAGCCTCAGTACCTTTCTGGAATTTATGATTTCTGTTGATTAAAAGCATTCATTACATTATTGTCAGTAAAGATATTAAAGTGATAATCATAGTGGCAAAATTAGCATATATGAATTCTTTCTAAGAAGTCAGGGTAGCATATAGTTTTCCCATCTTATCCTTTCAACAGTCTGTGAGTTAGTCACTTTCTTCTTTTACCTAAAGTCAGAGGTTTATGATAGGGAAGAAAACTATATCAAGTGCTTATGGGGCAGTTCTAAGATCATCAAATGTTATACTGGAGGAACTGCTAATTTATTAAGTTTATTCTTTTGTTGCTGGCAAGATAGGAGGGAGACAGTTGCCCTCTAGGTTCTCTTGTTATTTCCCCTTTTTCCATATCTATTTGCAATAATAGAAATTAAATGATTATGTCAGTGTAGCTTACCAATTTTGCAGACCTGTTGAGATAAGAGGGTTGGATATACCTTGAAAGATATATGGCAGTGATGGTGAACCTTTTAAAGACCAAGTGCCCCAAAACCGCCCCCGCCCTCTCCGTCCCCACCCCGCCACCTCACCCGCCTGCAGGGCCACCCACAGCCTCCACAGCCTGCTGCAGATTGCCCAAGTGGCCCAGCAGCACCATGGCAGCCATGCCCTCTGCCCGCGCCCCACAGCATCTGCGTGCGATGGGGTGCGAGGGCAGAGTCTTGTCCCGCTGCCTGGCTGCCATGTCCTTGGCTGCGCTGCTCCACACGGGCCACGCCCGGGGATGACTCTCCTCCGAGGGGCTGCTGATGGGGCTGCGGGGGGAGGCGGGGCTGGGGCGACGGCGCACGTGCCCACAGAGAGGGTTCTGAGTGCCCCCTCTGGAACATGTGCCATAGGTTCGCCACCACTGATATATGGCATATTTGGTTTCATAAACCAGAGGCAGAAATATAATGCTAGTAGATGTTGACATCTGAGGCTGCGTATGGGTCTCTGAATCATGGTTTCACTACATTCATTAGCCTTTCGGTGGCATCAACCTCACTACATATATTTTTAGTACAGACATTGTTTCCTTTCATACCTTTTTGATTGAAACTGCCGTTGCTTTTCTGTGTCAGTGGCTTCTCTCCCCTTCTTTCTCACAAACTCTTCATTCAACCCAAACTGCTGCAAAGTGTCTCTAAAAAGCTTCTGTGCTCCTTGACAGGCACTATGCTTTGGAATAAAAAGAGAAATATCTTAAAATACTTTTCTCTTTCCCAAGTGAATTAATAATAATCAAAAATAAATTAAAGTTCTTAGGTAAACTCTCTAAAATAAGATAGGTGAACATTTATAAAATACATCTTAAATAATATGTTTGAGGTAATTTTTGAAAACTCAATTGCAAAACATTTACTGTTGTGACTTGTTCAAATAGGTAAGGTCTGTTCTTCACACGCATCTTCATCTCTTCTAGTTCTTTCTTATATTCTCTTGTTCTTTTTTGGCCATTTTGCCTGAAACAAAAATTAAATTTACTGTCTGAAATAATCCAAATTATTGTTCATATATGAAAAAAAACTTTGTCCTGCATAATTCCCAGAATATAGGATACTTTACCTCCAAAAATAAGATTGGCCTCTATTGGTCAAGGATTTAACATATCTTTTTAGTCTGATCTTGTAAGTTAATGTTACAATGTAATTTTAATATATTTTGTTTGAATGTAAATTTTGGGAATTGTGCAAAAGCAATCTGTAGATACAAACTAAATAATTAAAGTATAAATTAACAATATTTGTATGATTGCTATATTTTGAAAGCCAATCCATCTAAATAAACACTCGTGTATAAACACACAAACATATAAAAATAAACAAGAAGTAATCTATATTTAAATACTTTGCTCTAAGTATTACTTGGTAAATTTATAATGCTGACCAGTTTTGCTTCACTTTTTCTTTGTGTGTCTCTTCCAAACTTTTATGTGGATCCATAGCTTTTGCTCGACAAATCACTGATTTATGCATTGCTTGACATTTTTTTCTTTGTAGCTCTGCCCAGCGAGCTCCTTCATTCTCCTTGTATTTCTTATTTTCTTGGAGGAATCTATAAATATAGATGTGGCCAATAGAACATATAAATAACCCTGGACTAATGCCAGTTACTTAACAACTATTCAAAATTACAACAGGCTCAGTATATCTCGCCATCAAAAATGTCATACCACAAATACACATACCCCACTGTCACATGATTTCATTTTGGGTACTTGGCAATTGTCTTGCATTTATGACTGGTTGTAGCGCCCTGTAGCCACATGAACATAATTCATAACATTTTTTTCCTGGTTTCCAGCAAAAACCTGCCCATTCAAAACAGGTTTGCACATGACCACTGCATTTGCTTAAACATCTGTGGGTTAACAATTATAACAATTTGCTTAATACCCTTTGCAAAAAATGTAAAATCGGGTCCGGTTAAATGGGCGCCTCAACTTACTACTGTAATGATTTACAAGCAGAAATATGATTCCAATTGTGGTAAGTCAAGGACTACCTTTATTTATTTCAAAATGAAATTGTAAGGAATACCTTTATTTATTTCAAAATGAAATTGTAAATATAAAAAAACAATGAAATAAAATCTGTTAATTTCTTATAGTTAAACCTTTATAAAAACTTTTAAAGCCTCCCTGTAATGTGCTTGATACCGTTCTTTAATTCTTAGTTTTTTTCATGTAATATAGAATATGTTTTCAAAGATAATCTCCATCAGATGTTGATTTGGATTGGAACTAAGGAGACAAAGGGAAAGAAATCAGTGTAAACCATAGCATTTTATTTGGGCAACATTCAAATCATTTTATCTTATTTTCTCCAATTCCAAATCAAGCTATGATGAAGTTAAGAAAGGTTATGCCATTTTATAATAAAATTTTACCATAAATACATGTATTTTTCAACAGTATTTATAAAAATGTCATTACTTACTTAATAGCAACTGCCCTCTTTCTCACTGCATCTGTAATATATATTGGAAGTGTATTGGTAGAGAGGGATGAAAGACAAGTAAAAGACCGACTTCTTTGTATTGGTGCCTTAGAAGGTTGCTGAAAATCCTGAAAGCAATAATACTTTTGGCTAGTTTTTTTTTTTTAATTTCCACCGCATGAGTATGTAACATTTTACTAACTTGCAAAAGCCTTGTTAATATATGCTCTGTTAATATATGTATTGATACATCCTGCAAAATTCCAAAATATACCATCATTACCACACAGAAAACATTCATCAAATGCTTTTTACCCAAGTTTCAAAGAGAATTTTTTTTAATGCAAAATATTCTGGCTAGTCCTCTCCTTGTCCTACTGATATAACTTGGAAGCATTGATAATTATGTACTCACTTTTAGTTTAATAATTTATTTAAAAACCTTTCAACAGTTCAGAAGCTGTGTCCTACAGGCCAAAAATGAAACTAAAATACAAATAGAAAATACAAATAGTCCTCAACTTACAACAGTTCATTTAGTGACTGTTCAAAGTTACAACGGCACTGAAAAAAATTACTTGTGACCGTTTTTCACACTTATGACCGTTGCAGCATCCCCGTGGTCAAGTGATTTACATTCAGATGCTTGAAGGCTGACTCACATTTATAACGGTTGCAGTGTCTCTGAGTCATGTGGTCCCCTTCTGCGACTTTCTCACAAGCAAAGTCAATGAGGAAACCAGATTCATTTAACAACCGTGTTACTAATTTAAGAACTGCACCGATTCACTTAACAAATGGTGGCGTGAAAAGTCGTAAAGTGGGGCAAAACTCACTTAACAAATTTCTTATTTTACAGCATAAATTTTGGGCTCAATGATGGTCATAAGTTGAGGACGACCTGCATTAATAATAGTATTTATAAAAACAACGGTCTCAATCCAAAATGAATTCGGGTACAATACTAAACTCTCCAGCAAAGGCATTTCTGAAGCCATAGGCTTCTGCAGTCATCGGTTGGAGAGGAGTTTTTTCCTTGGGAATTCCTTGCGGATTATGCTAATTAAACGCTATGGCTGTCTCACTGATAGTGCTTTGCCACTAAAAAAGCTAAGAGCAAGACATATCATAGAGGACAAATAGCCATAGCATTTAGGCCATGATGTTTGTCTGACAGATCTCCAGGTTTCAAGCTACACTAGCTCAAAGCTATATAATAAACGTTCAACTATCAAAACTTTTGACACTGGATAATGTCAGCTACCAAGACTGAGGCTCCTCTTCCAATCTTAGGATTGTTCTGACTATAGTGGAAGTAAGTGTCTTTATAGCCTCTTCTTTTCAATTCAATTCTGCCAACCATACAAATATTTTTATGTTAAGAGTTCCAGTGTGGCACATTAGGAACATCAACATGCTGGCATATTTCTCTTTTAAGATCCGCCAGGCTAACCATTCCACATTAGAAATCTGCCTGTCTGTTTTCAAAAAATGAACATTCAATTAAATCAGTGCTATGTCCACCATGGCAGCCATTTTGTGAATCAGGAAGCCTACAGAAGACATATTGCAAAAACATGTTCAACACAGTGTCCAAATGTGTCCAGCTGTCCAAAATGATCCGAGGGATCCTTTTCTATTTGAAATTACACTAGTATTGGACCTCAAAAATAAGCTGATATTGTTATGTCTGTTCTTACTATGTTCTACAATAGATATATGTTTAACTAAAACTTTCTCACTGTTGATAGAAAATAATTATTTATGTTGAAGATATATTTGCACATGTAGAAATACAAAGAGGTTAAAGCAATTCCTTTACCGTCATCTTGTCACACATTTTATGTCTGCAACTGAGATTTGATGTTCTCAGTCTGAATGGTTTATTAGAAGTTGCTTCTTTAATTTCTTGTTTGGTTAGTACTTTTCTTTGAAATGCCCAGTAAAGTTCTTCAAAATCAGGCACTGAAGTATTAATTCTTGGCTTAAAACTAAAGTTGTTTTGCAGAAAGCTCAACTTTTGTTCCCTATTTTTGGAGGCAATTTGGGATTTTGTATCCCTTTGTTTATTGTCAAGCTCATTGGGGGCCCAGGACTTTTCCAATAATTCCTTGGCTCTCAATTGAATACAGATTTTTCTTAAGAGTTCAGCTTCTAGGGATTAAAAGAAAAAAATAATGAACATTCATCCTATGACAATTTACATAAAAATGCACAATGGAAAATGTCAAAGTACAACAATCCTTCTCAATATATTTGTTTTGCCATGTGGAAACTATACCAAACAGTATAAGCAGCTAGCTAGGAATTTTAGAGAGGCTTCTGATGGAGAAAACTGATGGACAGTATAATGAGGCATTTAAATAACAACAGAACACACATCTTTAACTCATGAACAAAAAAAAAATGATTATGTGCCATCAAATCAGTGTTGACACTTTGCAACCACAAAAATTTTCTCCAGATAAACTAAAAATCCAAAATCCAAAATATTAAAAGTTGTATAATAGAAAGCTCCTGTGTGAAACATACAGCCAATTTGTACATACTGTGTTGTTGAATAAAGCATTTTGCTTTCCCCAGTACATTTGATGAATTTATTTGCTTTTTTTTACATTGGACAAATCTTTGAATTGTGATTGAATAAAAGAGACAAGAGTTCAAAATCAGATTAATGTGGCAGTTATTTATTTCCCTTTCACAAACGAAGGGAAATATTAACAACCATTACTATGTTAGAAAAAGTAAAAAATGAATCTTTGCCTAGATGATATAATCTTTACCTTCAAGTTTATCCCCAAGCATTGGCTCAAATGTGGACTTGGGGATTTTCTTCCTGAACATTGGTACTATTTTCTTAGCTGGGGTTAAAATGTTCAGAAATTTCTGTCTGACGGCCTCTTTTCTCTTCTCTTCTTTTATCTGAAAGCTGAAGGGTTTTTGCATTGAAAGAAGTAGCTCCCTTCTCTTTTGAGTTTCTGCTTGTCTACGGGTTTCATTCTTCTCCATTATTTCCTGGTAGAGTGGCAGATAGATATGAGCAGGCACAGGTTGTGCTCTAAATTGTTTTTGACATTCTGCAGCCTCTTGCAATTGTCTTTTGTACGTAGATGACTCTTTCTCAAGCAATGCCTGTGATTTTAGCAACTGAGGTGTTTTATGAGTTTCTCGAAGGGTCATTCGGAAGGGCTGAGGAATAGTAAAAGAGGAAACCCCGATAGCTGAGGCACTCTTTGGTTTTGAACAAGACTGAAGAAATGAGTAATGATTTTTCTCCTCTTTTGAGCTACCTAAAGTGATATCAGACAGAGAGTTCCAACTTCTTATGTTACCACACCTAAGAATAAAATTTAAAAAAATGTTAAGAAAGACACAGATGATAAGTTACATTACATAAATGAAGCTAAGTAAATTAATATTTTCAAGGCCGTGTATGATTTTATTAAACGTTTCATTTAATATTCTTTATTTACAAATTACAGTACAAAATATTCGCTCAAAAGCCGAAGAATTACTGGAAGACAAAGAAACATACATCCCAGTAAATCCAACCCAATACAGAAACTAAGCAACTTGATCAAGAAAAACTGTAACCTAACCAAAAAAGATCAAATCACAAAAAACAATAGTGGTGAACAGTGGTGAATGAAAAGCAGTAGACCCGGGGACTTCCGGTGGCAGGCGTCTTCGTCGGTCGCAGCTGTTTGCTGCCTCCCGCCTGTTTCGCGTAAAAGCCGGTTTGACAGCTAGCATCAGCTGTCAAACGGCTTGATACCTTTCCCCTGGGCATAAGGGGATAGGTGAGCTGCCCGGGGTAGGAGTTGAGTTCCCGAGTCGTCCTATATGGACGATGTAGGTGAG